CATTTATCATTTCCATTATCCCTCATCACTTTTGGGCATGAAGATTTGAGATTCTTTACTACTTTCAACTTCCTTTTTATTTTTCCGTATCTTAGTTAATTTTCTTTTTCTATTTATATTTGACCCGTTTCCTCAGTCTAAAGAATTTTTCTTATCCTTCTTTCTTATCTTTTTTTTATCTTTTTCATTTTCAAATCAGAAGCTTTCCTGTTTTTGAATAACCTTTTGTTTGCCAAGTGCCTTTTCTCGGACATATGCATGCATGCTTCACAATGTCTTGCATTTCAGTCTACAAGTCAAAATTTTCACCCCACCTCTATAAGTTAATTAAGAAGAAGAGGGGAAAAAATGGAAATTAATTAAACATGGAAACTTTGTCCTTTTTAGGGTAAAATAAAAAATTAATCTTTAAAGTACAAAATTTATGCAATGTCTCAATTTTACAACAAAAAAAATAAAAAATTATGAGGTATATATAAATATATATATATAAACCAATTACTATTAATAATTTAAATTTAAGTTTTTAATGTTCTATAAATTTTAATCCGAAAATTGTTAAGTTAGTAGTTTCATTTATGCTATTATTTTCAAGCAATATATTTCTAAAAATTGTTTAAACAATTATTTATGTATGGTCTGCGCCAGACCCGAACCGAACCCACGCAACAAAGAGTAAAATATGCAAAATACATTTTTTTTTATTTTAAAAAAATCTGTTCGTGAAAAGACATCACCATCCACCCCGCTATACAATTACAGTAAAACACACGTTTCTATAAATGAAACAACGTCAATCATTTTACTTACAAAATTATTATTATTTTGGCCAACTACGAGTATTTTTATTGGAAAAGAGTGTTTTATAAGTCTTTTCCTTCGATTCTTTTTTTGAAGTGTCAGTTTAAAATTTATTTTTATAATTAATATTTTTAAAAATTAATTTTTAATTAAAAATTTTATTCATATAAATTATATATATAATTAAATTTTAAATTAATTTGATAAATTAATTAATTTATTAAATATATAAAATTTAATATTATTAAACATGTAAAAAAATAAATTTTTTATAAAAATATTATAAACATTACATCAAGATGAGAATTGATATATCAATTAAAATATAAAATTTTAAATATATCATCCAAAAAAGTTTTAAAAGGACTCCTTGCCCTACTTTAAAACCTT